TAGAGGCCTTCACTCCTCTTCTCTTCTTCCTCAAACTCTTGTTTTTGAAAAGCGTATTTGCTTAAATCTTAGGACACACATGTTTTAGCTAGGCTTCCTTTCAGAACTGTTCATCTCTTACCTATACACAAATTTTTAAATAAGAAGCATGAACAGACTTTTAAATATTGTTTCTTTTCATGGCAATCCCTGAGCTCTGTTTTGTGGATAACGGTCAGTTTCAAACGTAAAAGTCCAGTTCTTTGGTCCACCCCATATACTTATGCACTTACCTGTTTCCATTCCTGGAATAAGCCTACTTTTAAATGATGAGAACTTACTATTTCTCATACAGTACAGTATGAAATTGAAACATTAGTAATTATGGTTTGGGGATTATAGATCCACGTAATCCTGTTTCATATTCTTCCTATTTTATAGGACTATGTTTTTAAAGTAAACCTCAATAACAAAGAGAGGAGAAAAGCATTACACTACAGCTTCCCCCAGGCAATTACAAAATAAAGGTCAGTGTCTGAGTGGAAAATAGCCATGAAAATACTCTCTGTAAAATAACGCAGTAGACGCTCTAACGATAATCAGTATGTCCATTTGTTTTCAAGTTAGCTGCACGTTCAAATACTTTTCCCTAAAATACTTACGTGTGAGAATAAACTGAGAGGAAAAAAGCCAACTGATAAATTGTTAGAAATGTGGAATGGTTCAAAACATTAATGTGACGCGCAGGGTGGCTGGGTAACAAAGGGTACATTGGCGCTTTGCTTGGCCTGACATAATTAATATTCTAGGTCATGCTTAAGTTCCCATGATGGAGGGGCTGAAAGGAAGAATTCAAGAAAAATATCTATCTATTATATAACTCATTGCCTTTTTTCCCCTTTTGATGAGTGAGAACCATAGGCTTTAAAAAAATCAGTGCTTTCACACCTCATTTGCCGTATCCACGCTGGGCGGCAGGCAGCAGCCAGGCCCTCGCCAGGAGGTCAGTGCGAAGCTATTAGCAGAGTCCTCTCCTGAGAGTTCCTGGGTCTTATTGAGTTGAATGTTAGCATGACAGTACTGCAAATAACTCAGTTGTACGCTTTTTCTTTCTTTCTTTTTTTTTTTAAACAGTTAGCACGGATTTCCCCATAGTGTTGGTCACTCTAGAAAATTATTGCTGGAAATGAAGTCCCCAAAGCTAGCTTGGCTACTGCCCCTCTAAGTCGTGAAAAATGTGAAAACTGGAAAATATGTCACGGTCCCTTAGGGTTACCCCTGCCTTTTGTGACTCATGGTGCTATGTGGAAAAATCAACCACAAATCATTATTCGTAAGTGGCTGAGAAACTAGGAAATACATCAGTTGAAACAATAGTATGTTTACGTCATTTTATTTGCTTAAAGAAATAATAATTAAATGACTAAAAATATGAATAAATAGTGTATTTGCTTGTCATAGGCATTGAGGGAATGCTGGCTTGTTTTTATTTATGTACATTAGCAAATAGATTATTGTCTAGAATACTGACACCTTGAAGATTTTAAGTGATACACTTGAACTTCAATTAAAATATATTTTCTATCTATATTTGATTTAAATTGCAATGAGAATACACATGAGGATATCTCTATATAGGTTGCAAAATATAATTTAAGAGAGCTATCATGTCTACTGGTCAATTTGCATTTCCCATCTAGCCCATGTATACACGTGCATGCAAATGTGGAAGGAATCAAGATTCCTAATGGGGTAGAGTTAACTGCTCATAGTAGTTATTCAGGTAGACAGACATTTTTAAATGATAAATTGTAATCTAGTTGAATTGTATGTATTTTACTATTATTAATCTGTAAGGTTGTGAAAGTGTTACTAATAAACTAACAGACTTCACTTAATTAGTGTATCACTAACCAAATGATTTAGTTACATTTTAGACAGAAAAGTCTTTTAATATAACATTTGTTTTTTCTTATTACAATCATATGTTTCTTATTACAATCATATGTTGTCATCTTAGAAAATTAGTCTAAAAATCATCTTAATTACTATACACAAATATATTGTGAATATATGTGTATCTATTTTCTTTCATTTACATTGATTTAAACTATACATTAACTCTATGTGTATTTATTATGGTATTGAGGTTAATGTGTGCATGATGTTAAAAATACTTTACCTAGCTGCCTTTTAACATTTTTCGGCATAATATTTTTTCTTGTGTCAATCATACCAGTGAGTAAATCCCAAAGAACCCATATATCAAAAATAATTTTAAATACACTAAATGTTTTTCACTAACTTTTTGTATACAATATAATTTAGCTCTTGATTATGAAATAAGAAAAATTTGAGTTAGAGGTAAATCAAATGGGTCTGTGGTAATTTAGTTTTACATCAAAAATGTCTTTGAAAATAAAATTGATATGCTAAGAAAGGGAAAAGGAGCTGATCTGTAAATTCCTTGAAATCAGTCAATAAGACTTTACAATAAATCTCAAATATTTTCTCCAGATATTCACCTGGCTTTGGAAAGCAACATTGAAATAGCTTTATGGGCTTTTCTGAGCTATACATTGTTGTTTTAGATGAACATTTATTTGTCTGTCAGATGTGATAAAGACCTCAAGGTTTAAACTTTTTAAAAAATATAATAAAACACACATTGCCATGAACCCCTCTCAAAATTCACCCTTCATTTTCAGCACATATATCCCCTTGCTTTTGCCACTTTTTGAAGTAGTGTAAGTCCTCTGTCATTTATGTTTAGCTGTACTTCCATAGCTGCCTTGATGTCCTGACTGGATTCAACATATTGACCTTTCGTGGTCATTTTGAGTTTGGGGGAGACGCAGAAGTCACGTGATGGCAGACACTATGAAAAGGCAGATGAAGACACACTGATGTTTTTGCAAGTTGCCTGTCCATTGGGTGTCATTTGGAAGCAGCATTCACCATATTTTTGATCATGCCTCATAAAGACATGCACGAAGGTGGCTTCCAGAATTGCTGTAGAAAGTGGAACGAATGATGGGATAAGTGTGCTCAAAGATAGGAGTGTTTTGAGGGGGAGTCTTAGTTACTTTTCTATGCTAGGACAAAACAACACCCCCAGGTTAAAGGAGAAGTATATTCTGGCTAACAGTTTGTAGAGGTTTCAGCTGATAGCCAGCTGGCTCGAAGGGTAACACAGCAGATGGGCACTGCAGTGGGGAAATAGTCCCCAGCATGTGAGGCAGGAAGTGAGCCTTCCTTTTTTCCCTTTTTATTCCGTGTAGACTGAAAGACTATTGGTTGGTGTCACACCACACCCACATCCAGGGTGGATCTTCCCTCTTATGTAAATCCATCATCCATACCCAGATCCATGCTAACCCAAGCAGTGAACAAACCCAGTGTCATACAGCCAAGATCCAGTTACTCCCGCAGCCCTGCCTCTGAGTGTGTGAGGTTTCAGAAGGGACCAGAATGGGGAGGATTAATGGTGATGTACCTTTAAAACTATAAATTTTTTTATTTAAACACACTATATGTTTTGATCACCCCTTGTCTTGAGTGTCTGCTATGACTAGCACTCTGCTAGGCTTTGGCTGCAAAGATATCAAGAACAGAGCAAATCCTTGGGCTCCACCTGCTTGTTTACAGTAAGGTGATCCACATACAAACAACTCTGAAACAATGTGATAGACACAGTGGTGGCGATATCGCCAAACTATTAAGGAAACATTAAAGAGAGGACATTGACTCAAGCATGAACTGATGTTCACAGTCACTGAAGTGTTAGATTAGAAATATAAAATTTTGTTGAGTAGAGTCTCAAAGACTGCTGTCCTGGTTAATCTTAATATTTTGGAATTGCTGAGACAAACATAATCAGGAATATTTGCTCATAGGACAATGGCCTAAGAAAAAAGCACATTTTTAGGAACAACAGATAGACTTAGTAGATGCATGCTTTATATAGTTCAGAGTATCTGCAGAGTAACCACATAACTCATGCTAACCTTTAAAATGTAACTTTTCCCTATCAATATGCATATGCATGTATGTATTTATGCATCCAGAATTACATGTACAAATATGTAGATAGATATCTGATTTTGGTTCTGTTGAAATCAAATATCTTCCAATTGTACTTCTATCAAGGTTCGGTTCCATGGAATCTGTGTAGTCAAATAACATCTGATTTTCGGAAAGCAGACATCTGCTAGTCTTGAACTTAGCATTTGTACCACATGTCTATGGAACTCGGTAGTGTGGCAGGTGTCGTGCTAAGTAGATATGGACTATTTTGAGACAGTGTGTGACAGCGCCAACTGCCAGGGCCGCATTATACTGCAGAGCACAGCACCTAACATGCTCCCTTATCCAGGGCGTCATTTCGAGTCATGACTAATGCACACCCTACGTATGTGCTACCTCTTTGACAATCAAAGTGTAGGACTTAAGATAGCTGTCATTAGGGTGTGGAAGGACTCATAATTCCAATAACCAAACTTTCACTGAGGACAAGTTTTGTACCTGAATTGAGTCCTAGCATTGTATGCTTTCACCTCCTGTCATGAAACTGACTTAGAGGGACCACCGCACAGTAAGCTAGGGTTAAAATATGAAGTAAGTGGCCTAAGGCCCTCTGTTACTTTTCCATAAACATGCAGTGTGTGGTGGATGGAAATGTAGCTCAGTGGTTTTCAACGTGTTTCCTATTCAATCTTGAGAGACGCCAATGTTGTTGTAGAGGGGAGACAAAGTGTGAAAAGCTTTGCAGTCTTCACAGGTGAATCTGAGGTCCACTTCTGCCTAAGGAGCAGAGTGGTTCATACATTCCTTAACTGTATGACACGGGGCTGGGAGTTTAGCTCAGCGGCAAAAGCTCCTGCTTGGTAAGCATGAGGTCTTGAGTTCTCTCCCCGGTACCAAACAAAACAAAAAAATGTATGAATGTGTACAGGTTATGACTTTATCTCCTTGTCTTTTATGACACAGATAAAAACCAACACTGCTGTCTTCTGGTTTAGATTTCAGGTATCTACAACTCACCGTTCAGAAGAGAGCCAGACCCTCGGGAGCTGCAGCTGCGGAAGGCAAAGCCTTTGGCTCCCCAGAGACGGAGAGTCATGCAGAAGCCCAGCGTGGGCCTGACCGACTGGCTGGCCTGCACCAGTGCCCGGTCATTCCCGCGTTCTGATATCCTGCCTCCTATTAATAGGAAGCCCTGTCAGGTACTGGCCAGACCTGTGGGAACTCACTTCTTTCCCTCTGCTTATGGTAGGATGTGTATCACATAAAGCCTGAATCACAACCGCTCTTCAGCATACACTGCAGTGATACTAAGTACTTTGAATTATTCTGCAGCCATCAGCAGTATCTGAGGACTTCTTAGTTCTTTTCATCTCGGAAAACCCAAGCTCAGTGCTCCAGGGCAACTCCCCATTCCCTTTCTCCTGCCTTGCTGTGGCGTATTTCTCCTACCAGCATGGCCTTAGGTTTCAGCCACGTTGTTGCACATGTCAGGTAATTATAGGAAGAAGAATTCCTTTGCTTACCTGCACCGAACTCCACTACATGTGATGGCACCATTGGTCTCTTCCTTTGGGTTATTGCCGTCTTTTAGCTGCTGTGAATAGGGTCACCATGCATACGGCTGTGCCAACAATACCCTGTTTCTCTTGAGATCTTTCTTGAAGTGGAATTGCCAGATCATTTGGTAGCTCTGTTTTGATTTTTACTGTTTTCTACAGTGGCTACGCCATTTTCCAGCCCTATCAACATGCCCCAGTTTCTGTATGTCTTTGCCCGCACTTACTATTTTCTGGTTTTTCATGGCTGCCCTAAAGCATATGACGTGGTAACCCTTTGCAGTTCTGACTTGTATGTCCCTAGCCACCCTGGTGTTAACTCTCTTTTTATATTCTTATTGGTCATTTCTGTGTCTTTTTTGGAGAAATGTCTGCTCAAGTCTTCCACCTATGTTTTGAGTCAGTTTTGATGTTGTTTTAGGAGCTCTTTCTATATTCTGGATATTAGTACCTGGATTCTGGATTCTGGATATTGATATCAGATATATGATTTGCAAATATTTTTTCCTATTCTTTGAGTAGATATTTTTACACTATGGAAAATGTCTTGCTATCCAAACAATTGTTTGTTTTTAAATTCACGATGAGAAGAAAGTTATTTCTTATCAAAATCTAATTTTAAATAATAAATATAAGTTACTTTTACAGTGTATGTAAGGAACTAAGCAAATGCTGCTTTGGTGTTGAATTTTGTTTGCTCAGTATGAAGTTAAAAGATGGATTTTGCCTAAAATCTAGATCTTTTATGTAAAAATGTAAACTTCTGCTACAATCTGTCTTGGATGCAAAACTGTTTATATATTATCATATTTATTTAGTCTAGCCTCTATTCTGATGATGATCTCTGTCTTTTTATATACCATTTTAAGCATCACAAAGGTTTGGGAATTAGAGACATCCCAAAACAAGGTAGCCACTGAGGTTTTTAGAATTTAATGGCAGCAGTGATGTGATAGTCTATCATTTTTTCCATATTTCATTTGCTAGAAAAGGCAGAAACCTGCTTCGTATTCCAGGGCAAGAGATTATGCAAAGTGGTGAAAACCAGCAGGCAGCGATCAAGGAGTCCCCTAGAGACCAGTCGCTCCCCAACATTGAGCTGGCCCTGCAGCCAGAGCACCGCATCCTCTACCAATAGAAATGTACCCACTTTCCCACAATTATTGGTATCTTGTTTTCCACTGTCTATACTTAAGCCTTTAATTCTCTTTATTTGTGTATTTTTCCCTTTTCAAAACTGCTAACTGGTAATTGGTACTACTAATAGATGCCTAATGCTACATTATAGAAGCCATAAAAAATAACTGAAAATCTGTGAGATCAATTTCTCCCCTGAACCACTTTCTATATTTTCTTCATCTCTGATTCCTTTGGAATCACACTTATGCCAGTATTTTAAGTTACCCTTAAACTAATCTGTGTAGCTAAATAATATACAGAAGCTGATACATCATCTTCTTTATGAGCTACACCAACAGGCTATCTTAATAACAAATACCTGAGGCTGAGTACTTTAAAAAGAAGGGAAGTTTATTTAACACACAGTTCTGGAGGCTAATAGTCCAACACCAAGCAGCTCTGTCCATTTGGGCTCAGGTGAAGGAAACTGTGGACACCTAACCACAGGACTGAGGATGGAAAAGTAGGGGTGAGTAGGGGCGAACTCATGAGATTCCCCGACATCGTAGCAACACTAAACCCTCCCAAGGGTGACACTTTCAATGGCCCAACATCTTCCACATACCAAACCCTTCTTCATGGCATTGTTATGGGGACCAGGCTTCTAGCACGTCAATGCTCAGTACAAACCACACCTAAACCATAGCAAGGCAGAGGGGAGTCAACGACAGAACTAGAGAGAATGTGAGACTTTCCACTTCTTTAGGAGAATATAGTTGTTTTCCCCTTAAATAGGTTATATCAACATTCTAATTAAAGCATTGGAAATACTTTAGATGGGAATTTAAAATGCATTTTGTGAGTAGCTGAATTTTTACCATTTCGAATTACTCACATTGCTATTTATTTCTATTAGATCAAGTAATGGTTTTTATGCAAATCATGGAAATAGGCAATTAAATTTATTATTCTGTAAAGAAAATAACGTTAGTCCTGGTGCTTTTATATTAAGCGCACAATTTTTGAATATGGTGATATTAAGCACCCAATGATTGCTGAGGTATTAGCTATAACACCATGTTTTGAATAGTTAATAATCCACACGGCCTGCTGTAATATATTGAGATAGTTACTGGTACTACATGGAATTCACAGTTTTTGTGCAGCTTTTTAGGAAATGGGTAATTTCGTGTTGGGAGTGAAATCAGTTTAGGATCCCGGGAGATCCTGCGCTCCCAGTTACTGCACTGTGAAATGTTCGCAGCACTAGCCAGCGTCACTTTGTGGGTGTCCGGCAGTCTTGCCGCATCTCTTGCTGCTTTGCTGTTCTTGTGCTTTCCGGAAGTGGCTCCCCGTCAGTGTGTTCACTCTTCTGCTCTGTCACCGCACTTCTCTCAGCACCGCCGTCACTAGTTTGGGCACAAATTTCCTTCCCTCTACGCTTCCATGGACAAGTGTGTGTGTACACACGTGCACTTAGTGTCTTAGAAATGCGTGGTTGGAAGATGGGTAGATAAAAGATACATTTAGATATTGTACATTCATGTGAAAATTTATGTATAAGTGGTGCATGTAAGTCATAGATCCATATGGAAAAATATATGCATATGTTGTTTTATTTGATTGATGCACATTCCTTATATTTACCCAATTAATAAAGTAATTGAGTGCATCATTGAGGATATTTAAAATTATGCTCAAGTGAAAATATTTGAACAGAGTGATGCACTGGCCAGGTGATTTCTTTGACATATTGGAAAATTGTGCTAAGCTAAGATCCAGGAAGATGGATCATACCATGTTGAGTCCTGCATGGGATGTGGATCCTCGAGATTAGTTATTGGAAATGAATGCAATGAGTGGATCTAAAGTTTGCAGCTATTTCCAAAATGTGAGATCACACATCACAGGGAGTGCCTTATGATCACGTGATCTCAGGGTATCAAAGGAAACACAAATAGCACAGCTTTGCAGAAAGAAACTTGCTCAGTCAAGGAGACAGGCTAATTTCCTCATGGACAGGACGCTATCTGTCTTAAATATGAATACATGGGCTGGGCACTGAAGCACACAGGGAAGTGGGCAAAGTGGCTGGGGCCTGTGTGGCGCACTGAACCTCCACAGTTACTTCCGCTCTAAGTTGCTACTTAAGCAAGGATCTTTTTGTTTTACTTCCTAGTTTCACTGGCATTAGTTCCAGAATAGACAGTAAGGTACATCTAGTGTGAGATGTGTGCTTGTTCATTTGTCAGGGAATTAGAAGGCAGCGCATGGCCACTAAGAATTCCATCCTTCCATGTCCTCGCTCCTTCAAGGGCTTAGCGTGGACGGTTCTTTTATTTTTATTTTATTTATTTATTGTTGAGACAAGGTCTCACTGTGTATTTCAGGCTGATCTTGAACTCATTATGCAGCTCATGTGGCTTCAAAGTTGGGGTGATCTTCCTGCCTCTGCTTCCCAAGTGCTGGGATAAGAGGCGTGTGCCATAACACCCAGCTCTCTTGCTTTTTGATGCTACTATATTTCAAATGTTTTACACTCTTTTTGAAACTAGTAATAGGAACAGTGACATCCTGAGCATGATAGTTGCTTCACGATATAATTATTATACTTTACCTGTGACAAAGACAGGCCTAGTTTCACAACTGCATATTAATTCTTTAAACCATAGACTCTGTCCGAGAATATAAATCTGCTAAAACAAAAATTAGTTTCTTCCCAGCACACCTGGAATCATGTGGCTGTGTCTTTAAAAAGCAAAGTTCCAATAAAAACCCATTAACTACTTTCAAATATCACAGTCCTCCTGTCCAGCTGTGAAAAGTACGGGATGATACTTATTTGCCATTTGTGTTATTTACGGTCCATGACTTTTATGGTAACTGGTTCCTATTATTGGTTTCTATTAATGTAAAACATAAGTGAACATAAATGAGGCGTGAATCATTTCTTTTTATTAGCCCACTGTCTTTGCCGAGAGCGTGCGGTGTCTCCAGCTGTGCCTTGTTAGTGATAACCTATGGAAAGAAGAGGATTTGAGGAGAAGGAGGCCGGCTAGAAATCTTTCTTTACTATCACTGCTCTCTGGCCCGACGGTGGGAGAGAAAGAAAGTGATCCGGGATTCACAGGCTGTGTGCAGTGTGGTAGTAATTAGACAACTACAGGATTCAGCTAAGTAGAAAAAGTGACCACTGCCTTACATGCACGATATATTAAGTCCCTTCACAGTGTCTTGTATTTACATCATCAAAAAGTTACATTTTATTCCATAATAACAGGAAAAAAAGGTTAGAACAAGAGACACAAAAAAAAATACGTTAGAATTTTGGGCTTTCTCTGTACAGGTAGCTACACATTTAATCTAAAAATTAGCATTCACTGAAAAGCTTTAATTTAATGAAAAACTCCACATGCTCTCCTATTTCTGTTTATCGGTGGGCTCTTGAAAAGCTGTGCTCAAGTTCGTTTTCTAGTATTTTTCTTAAAAGGGAGAGAATCGTGTTTAAGTTGTGTTAGAAGAATCGTACTTTGGAAAGCTAGTAAACCAAACAACTTGTAGGTTTGTGAGTCATGGCATGAAAATCTTTTTGTATCACTTAGGAAATTCCTGCCTAATACAAAACATTTCTAATGTAGTCAATTTTGCTCAAAATACTGAAGATAAGTGATATTCTCGTTTTTGATATCCCTGTATCTCCTAACTCAAAGAAGAACCCATCGTGCTTTTAAAAAATGCGTAAGCTTGCTGTGCTTTGTGGCTGCTCAGCAGCCCTGATTGTCGACACTCTGCCCAGAGAGCCTTCCATAGTAAAGTCTGCTCTCCTCTGGTCTCCTCAGGGCCCTTTCCGAAATATCAACGAGGTATTAGAGCAGCGCTACAAGCCTTTGGAGCCCACGCTGCGAGCCACGCACTCAGTGGATGGGTTGCAGCAGGCCAGGAAGGAGCTCCGGAAGCAAGAGTGGGTGCACAACATCAGCGACAAAATGTGAGCCCTGTACCCGCAGACGCGGCTCTGCCACGCTTGTGGCTCTAATTGTCTAATGGTCTTTATTCCCTAATGTGATCAAGGAAGCTCCCTTTGTGACAGATGGCAAGGCCACTCTTGACCTGCTCAGAAGCAAGCGCTTGACAACACAGAAACAGTGCAGATGAGGTCAGTGTGGACAGCCATGCACACACACACGCATGTGCATGGTAGTGCACACACACTCATGTGCACGGCAGTGCACACACACTCTTGTGCACATGGTGTGATAAAAGATATGGTAAATATTTAAATGTTCAAGAATTTACTGCAGTAACACATGCATTGCCATGAACCCCCTCAGGACCTGCGCCTAGCTTGGGAAACACTTCTCCCACGGCTTTGTGACTTCCCCAAGGCTTCGGGAGATCCTCTTTCCTGAGTGTCTGCTTCTGCTGCTGTGGATGCCTCGGTGGCCTAAATCAGTGCAAAGCATTTACCTTTCAGGGTCACACTGAGGGTGGGGAACAGCCGAGGTCCCACAGTGCCAGGCCCGGTGATGAAGCGGGGTAAGACACAGGGTCGTGTGTTTAGGAGCCCAGCTCGGCCTAGGAAAGAGCTGCGGTTCTTCAAAGCTTTGATCGCACACCCAGGGGTGAGGACCTCACATCTGCTATAGGAAGTGGAAACAAAGATGGGGTATTCCTGAGGGGACCAGTGGCTGTGTGTCTACGGCTGTGGTCAAATTTGTTTAAACTGACTATATTTTTTGATCACTACGTGTATACTACTCAAAAGAGAAAATATGTGTGTGTATACTTCTCAAAGGTAAAAAAAGAGAGACGAGTGATTTAAGTCATGACAGCTATGCACCTGAGAAGGCGGAGTCCTTAATTACCTAAAGCACACATATGTGTCTGTGATGCTCCTACAGTAACATCCAGCAGAACGAAAATATTCTTTGCACTAAATTCCATTTCGGTGTAATTATATTACCTTATTTTTTAATAAATTATATGAAACAAAGGAGATTGGTTTAGGACCCAGGAAGGTGACAGAAGAAATAAGGAATTATCTAACATCATGTACAGTTTCAAATTATTAACAGTGATTTGGGTCTCAATATGCACATCTTTCCCCCAGGTACTTTCACCCTCTTAAGGTACTTTGTCATCAATAGAGTCATAATGTCATTTATAAATAGATCATTTAAACTCCAGAGTGGTCTTGTTAATGCACTCTGTAACCTATCATGCAATTATAATTGCAATGTATCTTATGATAAGTCATTATTATTATTTATATACAAAATGATAATGACATGATTATGTTATTATAACACAAATTATTATAATTACAATGTAATAATTTTAGTATAATATGAATTATTAGTATGAATTTTTGTATCTACTATAACATAATGTAAAAACTTGTCAATTTTAGCTATGACTATTTGCACAATATAAACCAGGTCCTTATTACCATATAATACATGGTACATAATACTAATTTATATAAGAATAATAATGAGATACATTTTAACTAGTTCAATATGTTTACTTTGGGAGTAAAAAGTAAATTTAGAACAACTGCATAATTTAAAAAGAGAAAAATAATACTTATATGCATTACTATTGGGATATGTGTGGATTACTGAGGAAAATGCCCACCACTATCTGTTGAGAACAGAAATAAATAGTTGTAGAATGAACAGGTATATTTGATAATATAGTATCCAATAACTGTTTTCCAGTAAAATTTGATTATTGTACAGATGATATTAACAATCAAATCAAATATTTAAATTGATCAACTACTTTAATTATTGAAATGTAATTACCAATAATATAAAATATTTTTTACTTTAAAGAGAAAAAGCAATCAAAGCAATGATACAGAATTTTAAAACAAGATAATAGGAGATTAACAATGGTTAGCATGTTGTGTATTGTCATCTTTAAAGTAGTTGTCATATTACAAAATAGGCATGAAAACTTGATCAAACAATATGAGCACAAACTGTTCTATTCAATGAATAGAAATTAGTAGCATAATTATCTTATGTATATATATATATATATATATATATATATATTCTCTTTTCCCTCCTTTCTTTCCCTCCTTTCCCCCATCCCAGTTGTTCTTTCTCCTGAGCAGTTTCTTCCCCTTTCACAATATTTTCAAAATTATTGGAGAAATAAGATACTTTCAGGACAAAGAACAACTGAAGAAATTTCTGACCATCAAACCAATCCTAAAAAGAGTACTGAAAAATATTCTAGACAGAGATAAAAATGACCACAATTCCAAGAAGAACAATAGAAAGAAACCACCAGGCAGGACAAGCAGTTAAACAGAGGGAAAGCAGGGAACCAGCAGAAGGAAAATATGACAGAGATAAGCCAGTACGTATCAGTTACAGCCATCAGTGTAAATGGCCTCAACTCACCAATTAAAAGACACAGACTGGCAGATGGACCAAGAAACAAGATCCAACAATATGTTGTATAGAATAAAAAAGAAATTCATAGGTTGAAAGTCAAAGGATGGAAAACAATATTCCATGTAACAGGAACCCAGAAAAAAACAGCAGTAACTCTTTTGTCTGCAGACAATGTGAACTTCAAACCAGGAATAATCAAAAGAGACAAAGAAGATCACCGCATACTTGTTAGGTGAAATACATTTAAAAGTCTGTTTAGTTACATAACGAAACTAGAATTACCTCTTAGCACTCACAGTGGGTTTTAGATCATTTTCTCAGTCAGATATGTATGTCACAGTCTTAAATGTATTGTAATCATATATTTCTGAAAAGACCATTGAAAAATTTCACATGAACTGACATGAAAAATTGGAAAGCATCTCAAGTAATTTTTATGAAATATTTTATAGTAATTGCTTGAAGTGGAAACAATTAGCTATAGGACATTCCGATTCAGCAGTTATTGAGCTAACCAACGTACAATGAATGAAAAAATAAGGCACATTTTTTTCCAATTAATTTTGGGAGGTAGATGTGTTTTACCTTAGAAATTATAAAAGATTAATGCTGCCTTAGTGAAGCAAAATATGCAACGTAGTGATAAATATCTACTGTGTTAAATCACTCGGAGTTATTTTTATACATTCAATCATGCAGAGGTTTGTAAAATAACAAGATTAGTTGCTGAAATAATTGAGGTGATTATTGATGTTTTCATTCATATATGTATGGAAATCGCTATATATCAATTGTACTTGATAAACTTTCTTAATATTTTCCTTGATAAGCCTACAAAGATCAGAGATCAATATGATCTCTAGAGAAAGAGCTCAATTTAGATTTTGCATACGGCATGAGTATCTTTAGTCTCTGTAATGTTGTAGCATTCCTATTTGCAGAGAAGGAAACACATCTAAGTTTATCAAACCAGTCAGAAGCAGAACAGAAATGTGAAGAAATTACTGATTGGTGCAGAATCATGTATTTTTAGCAATGAGGCAAAGCATTTGGTCTTAACAATTAGCCTAAAGATAATTCCACTATTAGCAAAATCAAAACACTGATTTTGTAGCACTTCTGAATCTACTTTGGTTTTCACATATTGATTAATGTGTAATTACACTTTGTGGAGTGAAAGACATGTTAAAATTTAGAGTTTATATCTCAGCTGATAAAAACTCCATGCAGAAATTGGGAAAACATGTAACCTACCCCAGAGATTTTTTTTTTCATTCAGAGGTTCCATGGCCACATTATCAACTTTACCCATAAGGAAATAAGACAGTATGTTTGTTACCATCCTATGAACTCACTCACAAACTCCCTGTACACACCTGGGGAAATACGGCCTTTAATTTAATCTTCTGGCTTAAAGAATAGGATTATATGTGAGGCTCTGATATATTTAACGGTTTGGTTTCCATACCATTATGAAAAGGGTTCTGTGCATGAGTAGAAGGAAGAGAAGCTTTGGAATGGATCTCTGTCAGCTCCAAACTCAGCTTCTTTGCACAGCAGCAGGTGATCTTAGGAAAGTACTGTAGCCTCACTGACCCCCAACCTCCCTGTTCGTAAGGAAGAAGGAAACATTTCCTTAAGAGATGGTAAGGAAGACTGAATGAGATAAAGACTATAAAGCACCAAAAACATAGTAAGCTCTTCAAACAAAATTATTATCTAGCATCAGCATTCTGCACGTAAGACACTAAAGCAGATTCAGGAGATAGTGCGGATGTAGAACCAAAAGCCTTGGCTGTGAGCAGAGCTCTCCATAAACCCCAGTGCACTAACTTCACAAAGGGCTTCGCTTCCGGCTGGCTGCAGCGCAGCCTTGCTGAGTGCAGGAGTCAGCTAAGTCTGCTATAGCGATGTGCCGGGAATGGAGAAGCTTAAATAGCAGAAACCTGCCATTGCCTTATGGTTCTGTGGGCCAGCGACCTGAAGCCAAGGAGCTGGTGGGCTTGGTTTCTTCTCAGGACAGTGAGGAAGAATGTGTTTGTGCCTTTTCCCAGCTTCTGCTTGTGTGTTGAAGTCTGGCTTTCCTTGGCTCCCACGGCGGGCTGCTAGTTCCTGCTTCTGTGTTCACGTGGGTCCTCCCTGTGTGCACATCTGTGCCTGTGTTTCCCTTTCTAGGAGGACACCAGTCTCGCTGGGTGGGCCCGCCTTAGTCCAGCAGGACCTTGTCCTTATTTAGTACGTCTGCAATGACTCTACTCTGCCTAAGGTCGCCTTCCGAGGTACTAGGGATCAGGACTTGGACACATCGGTTTGGGGAGATCACAGTAAGTTCCCAGATACCTGTAGACAGGGGCAGAATGCTTCTTACTCACAGCCTGAAGGTGAAATCCCTTGTCTCCTATATTCTCCAAGATAAGCATAAAAGCAGAATAATAATAGTTTACACAGAGTGTGGGTTATAGAAGTTTATCTGGAAGTTAACTTGAAAGTTTGGCTTTTTGTTCTTGTTCTTATAGAAACGCATCCCATTTTCTCATACCTTCTTGAAAATAGTAATTTTTCTTATTCATGTGTCTAT